GTGGCTGGCGCCTTAGCCGGTTGAGCTATAGGCGCCGAGCCCATTTCAAACTCTTAATAACTGATTCTATAAATCTCCATTTTCCCATTAGATTTCCTCAATGAGGTGAGAAGCACCCCTAAATGTTTAAGTCCCTTAAACATCTTATCTTATACGGGGTTGAAGGATTTTCTATTTTCTCATGGGATCTTTGTGACAATCCTTTGAGGCAGGCAGGGTTGGATCAGCTTCACCTTAATACTATCAGAGAGGCCAGGCATGGTGGCTGACACCTGTAATCCCAGAACTCTGGGAGGATGAGCCAGAAGGATTGCCTGAGCTCAGGAGTTTGAGACCAGCTTGAGCAACAGTGAGACCTTGGTCTCTAAAAATAGCTGGATTTTGTGGCAGGCACCTGTAGTCCCAGCTACTTGGGAGGTTAAGGCAAAAGAATCTCTTGAGCCCAAGAGTTTGAGTGCTGTGATGCCATGGTACTCTACCAAGAGCAACAAACTGAGACTCTGTCTCAAAAAAAAAAAAAATACTGACAGAGAAAACAAGTAAGTGGCCTAGTTGGGGTCATACCAACCTTGTGAGCCAAGAAGCTGAGCAAATCTGGGTCTTCTCTGCCATAGTAACAAGCCTTGCAAGGGCAATCCATTTTTGCTGCTTTCCTGGCATTTGTGCAGGCCCCATCCCATCAGATCCTCAAAGACATGAGGTGGAGGTCAGGGATATGAGGTTCTGCTTCCCTTGTGTAGGTGGGGAAGCCAAAGCTCGGGGGTGGTCAGTAACTTGCAGGAGGCGGCAGGGCAAGGCAGGGTCGAGTCCAGGAGCCTAAGTCCACATCCAGGCTCCTCCCTCCTGACCATAGAGTCCCTGCCCTGACCAAGGGTGGCCTCACCTGAAGGGGTGAGGGGAAGGAGAGGGAACCAGGCTTGAGATGCATAGGAAGAAATGGGATCTGTCTTGGGCCAACCCTGGTGTACATCTGGTGCCACAAGAGGCCCTTGTGTGAGTGGTCTCGCTGCCTGCAAATTGCTAAAAATAAAATTCACAGTGGAATTTCCTCTTAGGAGGAAACAGAAACCCAGTAAACAGATTCCCAGCCCCGAGGGAACACTCACTCTTCTGTCTGGGTCTGAGAAGTCTCTGGGTGTGTGGTGTTCCCCACCACCCTGGCTACCCAGGCCCTTTGTAGTGGGGTCACAGTGGGCCCTGGCAGAGGCTCCCCATTCAGAGACTGGGGAGGGGTCTCTGAGGATGTGTGTTAAGAGGGTGTTGGGAGCATAGTGCCACCTCTGTGTAGTACAAAGAGGGTCTGGGCAGCCTGGTCACCCTGCTGGGCTGGGCTAAGGGGGGCCAGCTGAAGTGCTCGCTGAATGCCCCAAGTGGCTGCTCCTGCTTGGGCCTCAGCTGAGGCTGGATCTTGGTTATGTGCTCCTGCCCTCCATTGTAACCAGACCAGTTTCCTCTCCATCAGCTTCTGCTCAGCTCCCCTGCCACCTCCTTCAGGAAGCCCTGCTGGATTCTGCTGGTCTTGCCCATTCCTGTTTATCCACAGCACATGGTGGCTTCTAGCACTTAAGACTGACTGTTATTTAAACATAAAACATTTAGGGGTAATCCCCCATTTGAAGAAAGCACAGAGAAGAGGCCACCAGCCTGAGAGACAGGAGTTGAGGCCTGGCTTTGCCTCCTGCTTGCTCTGTGATTTGGGGTCAGGGACATCTCCTCATGGAGCCTCCATATATCCCTATCATTAAAATAGGGATATTGCCACCACACAGGATGTCATGGGATTGGCAAGATTACACATGCAAACTATCAAGTTTAGAAGTATAAGAATTTGGACATTCATTTCCAAGTCTCATACTTTGAAAGACACAGGTGAGTGAGAGCACATTTACCCCACATGCACAGAGACCAGGGACAGACTCCAGTGAGATATGGTCAGTGTCTTTCCACAGAGGCAGGACTGACTCAGAGGGGAGGAGGCTGACTTGCCTTTTATGGCCTCAAGGGAGACAGACTTCAGATTAGTACGAATAAAGAGAAAAACGTGGCAATAGTCATGGCCCTCCAAAGTGGGGGTAACTACTTCATGGAGTCATGAGTGTGCTGTCATTGGAAGGACAAGGAGTCACGTGGCAGGACTCCAGTACAAGTGGGAACTAGATGAGACATCTTAGACTCCTGTCATTTTCTGATACTAGAAAAACCCAGGGCATTATTAGGAGCCACTGGCATCAGATGCCAGCTGGCCTCTGACCTTCTCCAGCAGGCCTCAGGGGGAAAAGGATGAGAGAAACAATCCCGTTTGCTGAGGAATCGGCAGACAGGATTGAAGGTTATTTTCCTACCACTGAGTCCCCTATTTCATCATCACTTCTCTAGGAAGATCATTCCAGGTAAGAAGCACGCATCTAACTAGGTCAACATTAATCCTTTAATGCCTGAGTCTTATATTAGGTCTGTGCTCCGGGCACTTCTTAGGAAGACATTAATCTAATGAAGTCAGAGGGTCAGGACAAGCTGATAAGCAGATGGCATGGAGAATCTGTAAGGATGGGGGCTGTTGGGCTTAGCTTGGCAGTCTCCAGGCCTCTACCTTGCCTCCACTTTCTAGGGTGCTCCAGACACACAGGCAGACTTAGAAATCATCACATATGCAAAGTGGTGACTTACAATCAGCTGTTTTCCTTTGGTTAAAAGTCCCCCAAAGTTTCCATTGGGGGCAGGAACCAGAGGCGCCCCTGGTCCTTCCCCTACATGGCTTTGTGCAGGTGATGACACCACTGACTCATCCCTCCCCCAGCTTTCTACCAGGGCTGCAGTGACAGCTGCTTGTGGTGGGGCAGCCAACAGGGAGGGAGCTGATGCTTCTTTGATATCTGCCTGCATTTAAGAGCCCTTTGCCCCCAAATGTAGCAGCACCCTCTCCCAACCCACAGCTGGTTAAGGTGCCTATGATTCTACTATTAGAGTCCTTTCATTTGGTCATTTGGTTCAAGGCAGCAAGTTTCAAACTGTGCTCTGCAGGGCCCTAGGAGTTCCCAGAGTTGCTTAGGGGCTGGGATAGGAGAAAGAAGTGGGGCAACTAGGGGGACAGGGCTCCAGGATTCCCTTCCATCAGAGCATTTCTGCTTTCATCCGATCCCACTTTAACAAAGAGGAAAAAATTAAAGCTGCTGGATATAATAAAATATCTCTTACCTGTATTATCTAAGATTTGTACCATGCATGTCTATTAATTTTGTTTAGAGGAAAGAATAGAACAAGTCAAAAACAATAGTTCTGGAGTGTGCAAGCAGGTGGGGTCCCTCGGAAGCACTCAGCTCACCTCTCCCTTTTGCAAATGGGGCACAGCAGCCCACAAGTGTGAGGAGTCTGCTCCTGTCTCATGCCAATCCACTAAGACAGCCAAGCAGGGAGACACAGAAGCTACTCCATGATCAGTGTGCCACACTATAGAGTGTAAAGTTCTAGGGAAATGCACTGGATGCTGATTATTATTCCCTGGGGGCCTTCTGGTCAAGAGGGTTACTGAGAAGGGGATGGGAGAACCCTTTCAACAGGCTCTGGGTGGGGCAGAAAATTCCCCCAAACTCTCTGAATGAGAAGGGGCAGGAAAGCAAGGAGGAGTGGATTTGCAGGTTCCGGAAAGGCTCTGCACTTCTTCATTTTACAGATGGAGCTACAGGGCCTGGAAGCTGCCTCCAGCCACGCAGTGAATTACATAGAACCATCCCTGGATATCAGGTCCCTGGACAATGGTTTGTTACAAGTAAAGAGATTTGGCTAAAAGGTGCTGGGCACCTCCTAGCCAGGGCAGAGAGGGCGGCTGAGCAGCGAGAACCTCAGCACTGAGACTCCTGGTGGGTAAACAAAAGGGTTAGGTTTGGAGCAGTGATTCCTACATGTTTGGATTCATGGGCCAATAAAAGTTGTTTCTTTTAATTGAGAGATCAACATAGAGATCACTATCTTTTTTTATTTTACCTAGTAATGGCTTTACCAAAAACTATCACATCATTTCATTTATATAAAGACATGTAGAGGAAGGATATAATCTCAGAGTAACTGTTGACGTTATACATGGAAAGAATTTAGCTTTATATAAGCTTATTTATATAAACTTTCCTCATCTTTTATTATTTTGTTATGAATTGGTAGAATGGACATGTCTGGATGACACATGGGAACCTCTGGATTGGAGAGATAACCTATGAGTGCCCTTCCAGCATGGGAGGGTCAGTGTTCTGAACTGTAGTTCCTAAAAATGTATCTTTGGCCCCTCAGACCTCCACAGGTGTCTCTTGTTCTTATAAGTACAGGTTGGTAGGGCCAACAGGTGAGCTGATAATGGCCTCTCCCTGTCTGCCAGCAAACAAGAGTAGAAGGAACTGTCTAGATTAGGAGTTGGCCAACTGTTTCTTTCTGTGATAGGGCCAGATATTAACAGCAAATATTTTAGGCTTTGATTTCTCTGAAGGAAGTTTTTTTTTTAAGAGAATAGGGGATTTACTAGATACTGAATATAAAAGTTAGCCCATTTAAATATGGGCCTGCAAGCTTCCTTTATCCCCCCAAGTGCCTGCCTTCCCACCCCAACCCCAATAAAAACATTTTGCAGGGTGACATCTGTGGCTCAAAGGAGTAGAGCACCAGCCCCAGATGCCAGAGGTGGCAGGTTCAAATCCAGCCCCAGCCAAAAACTGCAAAAAAAAAAAAAAAACAAAAACATTTTGCCTGCACATTGATTAGCAAACACTAAAAAGACACAAGTGTCCAAAGATGGCAGATGCTCAACTGAATGAGGCTGATGACCAGGTCAGATGAGACTGTTCTGGGAGGAGCCCCCTGTTTACTCAGCTGCAGCACCAGTTCAACACCCAGCCTTCTGGACCAGAGACCCAGACATCAGTGGCTTCCTGAGCAGTGATGACAACCTAGTCTTTCATTTCATTCTCCAGCTGCCTCGCTATCCGAGCCCGCTTCTGATCCTGGAGCACCTGACAGAACCGAAGCATGGCTAGTTTTAGCCGGAGGGGCTTTTCGGCAAAGACGAGGCGGAACCAGCCAGGCTCCTTACACATGTAGGCTTTGCCACAGGATAGGATCAGCTTGCTGTCTAGGAAGCGGCGATGGAGGAGCATTTCTTCCTCAAATGTACATGGGTCCAGGTACTTTTTCAAGTTGATCCAGACATAGAGGCCAGCGCCACGATAGAGAAAGGGGATCTCCAACTCCTTCAGCTTGTTAGTGATGTACCTGTGAGCACTCCGCAGCCGGGAGTGATTGGTGGGCAGGTACACTCTGTCGATCCATTCTCTGTCACGGAGCAGTTGAGACAGTTTGTGCTGGGCGATGCCAGAGATACTGTGAAGGTAGCCAAAGAAGCCCACAGCAGAGGCCACCTCCTTGTTGTGGGTATATAGAGCACCAAAGCGGAAGCCGGAGATGCCAAAATCCTTACTGGTGCCCCAGATCACATGGGTCCTGTTGGGATCAGGCAAACTTTCTATGCTCAGAACACTGTGGAATGTGATAGATTCATCAAACACAGACAGCAAGTAAATCTCATCTATGATCACATGCAGGTTATACCTCTTGGCAAATTTCAGGTATTCCATCAGTGAGTCTTGGGAGTAGATGTCACCCAGAGGGTTCTGAGGGTTGGTAAGCACGAGGCCTCTGACCTTTTCCCCTGCACTTTCAGCTTCAAGCAGGGCTTGCTCCAATTTGTCCACAGTGAGCTGGAAAGGACGGGTGTTTGTCTCAGTGATCTCACTTTCCAGGTGAACAGGAATCAGCTCAACTTTTGCATACAGGTGGGAGCTCAAGGCAAAGCCACCATAAAAGGGAGTGGGGACCAGAAAGGCCTCCCCAGGATCACACAGAACCACGGCCAACGCAGAGAAGACAGAGCAGCAGCCATTTAGAACCACCACATTTTCTGGATCAAGTGGGGCAGGTGCCCTGCAGTAGTAGGTCAGGAACTGGGCCACTTCTTCCCGCAGGAATGGCTGTCCTCTCCAGTCAGGGTACTGCAGCAGGACGTCCTCAATGTGGTTCATGTCACTCTGCCCCAACCTTTCAATCATCAGATCGATGCAGAGCTTGTTCTCACTAGTGCCAAGGTTAATGAAGCCCAAGGTGTTTTTGTCCTCATGGAACTTGTCTTGTTGGTAGGCAGTGTAGTTCTGAAAGCTTGAGTGGTATGTGATGGAGATATCAGCCCCACGGTTGGACAGGTCATGGCTGATAAAGGCAGGTTCAAAGTCGCTTAGGTGGGGAACTAGTGGGTCAGGCTGCCTGGAGGGTTGGGCACTCTGCCCACTTCTGATATCACCCCTAGAGTCCAGGCAAGGGAGATACACTTGGCACTCTAGGCCACTTTCAGCCCCAGACTGCAGGAAGTTGACCATCTTGCACATTAAGTGGTCCAGGTAGTCTGCCTGCTCACAGGTAGACTGGGTGTGCTTCTCTTCGTCCAGTTGTCGCCTCTGTCTGATCACTTTCAGCTGAATGAAGTGCTTCTCTAC